CTTTTAGTACTGGGAAAATAGAAAAAAAATTTTTTTTTGTTTTTACAATAATATTTTCAGTAGTGTAAAATACGAGGTTTCAGACCAATCTAATGTTTTTACTGTAAAAACAGTGTTGTACTTGTTTTCAGCACTAATCTGTGACCTCTTAGAGAGCGTCGAAACGAATCGAATTGAATAATTGAATTCAGACTTCTCTTTTCATTGTTCCTATCGCTACACTCTTCGTACATACGAAGGGTACTTGTATATGCATATAGGTTTTAATGGCTTTCACTGGGTATATTGGTATCTTGTTGTTCTGTTTGTTATTCACAACATATCTTACTTTAATTCTAACTTAGAAAGTATACATAGTTACCTTGCCTTACCCTAAGCCACTCTGACTATATTTTTTACTGTAAAAAGTTAGAAACTTCGTATACTGGGCGATCTATATTCTCTTGATATTTACGGTTTTGTGCAAAATTGTGTATGTGTGTTACAATGTAAATGAGGTAATACATGTTTCAAACGTTCGATTAATTCTGTGGGCACAATGTTTATTCGATTTACCTACACCTACGTTGGCATTTTACATAAGATACGATGGGTTGGGTTTGTGTTAGATACGAAAGTTAGTAAATAAGGTAGATTACTGGGTTGCGGGTGAGTGAGAGTAAGATACAATGTATTTTTTTACTTCGATCTTGTATCTTTCGGATTTTTTTTTCGTTTTTTCGCGTGCAGGTACTTATCTGTGGATTTTTTTTCTCCTCCTCCCCCCAAACGACGTCCTTGGTTGTACTACTGAGTTTTACAACATGGTAGATTTATTTGAGCTGTGATATACTACGTTGTGTTGTATTGTTGTATATCTACGTAACATCCGAGTTATAAAAGTATCTTAACGCGGTAAAACGATTAGATTAAGCATCGTATCGGTCTTGTATTTTTACTTTCTTTATCTTTATAATATCTACAATACTTACTTCACCTCTCTGTTAACCACAATTCGACTCGTATATCACGTAGATGTGATATGTCTTTTCATAATTTATGCCCACCGGATTCGGCTGTCGATTATCCGCGAGTTTGACAATAAAAGAGTGCACGATGACAAGTTGATTGTCTTCCGGAATCCGCCGAAGGAGTAGAGTAGGGATAACAACGTCAGAGTCTAACCAAGTATACGCTGATGTGGGGCTATAAATATGTACACAGGGATGGTAGTGATGTTGAGTGTGTAGTAAATGAGATGGTATTAACTACAGTGGAATACTGAAAGCTTAAATTTGTCATTATGACAGATTTTTTGGAAAAGTTTGACTCTTTGGCCATAAGGGTAGAGACAGCTAAGAGAATTTTCTTTTTGGTAAATATATGGTATGTTTTAATCTTTCGTTTGTTTAATTATACACATAGTGATGTTATGTTTATAATTTATAATTGAACGGTGGTTAACAAGATAATCTTGCATATTAAAAAGTATATCTTTATGTCAAAAAAGGTAAATTATTCATAATTATTAGGGGTTACAAACGTTTTTTACATTGTCATATGTTAAAGTCAGGAGAGTAAAGATGTAAATAGGCAAGGGAGTAAAGACACAAATAGGCAAGAGAGTAAAGAATAGATATAATTAGGTACTGTCAATTACTGTCATTGATCTGTGAAGCTAGAGGTTTAAAAGGAAAAGAGAAGAATTAAAAAATAACTTTTCTACAGTTTTTTGTAGATTTTTTAAAGATATTGGGTTAATTGACCCTAGAACATGTTTTTGTACTCTCAAACTACTGTCATGTCAAAAATACCTAATACGTTCACTGTTTTTTATAACGAACGTTTCCATATAGACCTGAAAAGAGCTTACTATGCCCGGCTTGGTCTTGGTTCAGCTCCAGATTCCGCCTTGACCCAGCTCGGGGCCAAGACGGGCTTGGCAGGGAAAAAGCCAACTTGGGTTATTTAGGGCACAGAAGCAGTACAAGTTATTCCAGATATTATTTTACAATTTGGGTTAAAACAACTTTGAGGGGCTGAGTCGGATCGAAAAATTGAACCTTGTCCGGCCGCTTTACATATCTATATCTGTATTACTCAAACTCATGTCTACGTAATTTTAATTTTTAAAATCCAAAAATTGTCTTGTTTTTGTGTACTCCGAGGAACAACAACTTAGACTATGGCGTGCCCTATGCAAATTAATTTGAAACACGTGGTCAGTAAACAGATATTAATAATCGTAACCAAAGATTACTCGTGTTTGTGTACTTTACTACACAATAAACAGCACGTTTCAAATACTTTTTTAATATAAGTAATATTTGATTTACTATGTAACTCCAAGCGTATTTCTTCATATGAGTGTGATATTGTTTTAGTTTGAGGTGATGTCTTACTTTTATACATTGAATCACATGTTTAAGAGCAACAGTTATACTACAACATGGTACATAAAGTACATAGCTTTTATAGTATTTAAAGTAATTTTTATCATTATGTATATCATATAGTATACGTGATAATTGCAATACCTATAAGTAATACTTGTTTTAATAAATAATACTTATGTTGATATACCAGAGTAAATACCGTGCCATAAAGTTCATGTTATGTTGTTTAAGACAAATATTGTTGTGATATGCGGAAGTGTTGTTTATGAACTTACTCTGCTATTAGAATAAGCACTTTTCTGTGAATTATCGTTCTTATTATGGGATTAAATTGTTGGTACAAGAACCACAAAGTAATACTTTAATAGCGGTTTTCTTACATTGTCTAGACCAGTTTTGTAAACTAAAATAACTCTGGCTCTTTGGGTGAATACTGTGTAGAGTATGCGATTTAGTTTACTGGGTAACTAAACCTTTTTAGTATGACACTCAAGGGACTGGTTCAAACCTGTCCTTATAACCAGGGTGTCACTCTACTCAAGTACTTTTTGATTGGGATTTCATTATATTATAAAGAGCGGTCAAGAAGCTGTTATTATAAAGAAAGTACGCATTATCGAAAGTCATACTGTTATAAATATCTTTCGCAGTAAATAACTTGTTTTAATTTACATGAACTGTAACATTTTTAGAATGTACTTTGTTTTACTACAATATATGTTTATTTTATTCAAAAGTTTTAAATTTATGAGTGTTTTTAATAAATATTTTACGTTAAAATATGCAATGAGAGTTTTTAAATTATAGGCTTACATGTTTTGACTAGTTTATAATAAGTAAAACTATCTAACTTAATCCTAAAATAACATAATGAAATAATGCAAGAGCTTGATTCTACTGCACGTACAAAGTACATTCACTTTATAAGAAAGTTGACCAAACTCAATCATTTATTTGAGTTTTATTTCCTTAAAATTCTCGAAACAAACCCGAGGATTCTGAAGGCATTTCTCGGAAAGCAAACATTCAGGGTTTGGGCATAGATAATATGCTAGATTTAGATAAATTACATCGTTTTGTATCAAGAATATTATTAGTAATTAAATACTGTGGCTGGTGGTGATTGGGGGGGGCGAGGTGAAACTTTTTTTCTTTGCAGGTTTAGTATTAGCTTACATTTTAATTTTTTATGACTAGTGGATGAATTTCTTCAAAAATTTCTTTTGTTGTACTCTAGTCCAGCTTAAACCAGAAAGAAGGCCTACTCGGCCGGCCTAGCAAATTTGAAAAAAAACAGGACCAAAAAGTTAGGCTCGGCCGGGCCTTTTTACAGGTCTAGAAAGCTATATATGTAAATCATCATATCACACTATGTAGCCCCTTTTCAGATCTAATTCTGGCTGTTTACAAGTTCAAGGTCTTTTGTCTTACCCTTATATTGATACGACAAGTTTACTTGTATTGTCATCAGTTTTCTCAAAATATTAATTTAAATTTTGTTGATGTCAGACTGTGATTTGCATAGATTTAAACTGATTAGTAAGGTGAAAGTGAGTCAATATGGTATGAGTTGAAGAGTAAGAGAATATTCAAATTAGAGGATTGAAATTCAAAGCGGGGGCGGGAGAGCAATAGGTATGAAAAAGGCTTTAAACTTTGTTTGAAAATCGCTATCATTTTTGTTTTTACAGCTTAAACTTTTGAGAGAAGCATAGTGCAACTCCTGTATAATGAATAGCTTGAAGTTTTTATATCTGTGTTTTATACGTTTTTGCTATATATAGGAGTTTTAAATGCACTATATTGTTAGCTAGGGATTTAAAATTTGGTCGTTATACGGGAGTTTCATTACAGAGGAGTTTGTTATACAGAAGTTGTACTGCGATTATTCTTTACTAGAGTTTTTTATTGGGGTTGTTCAAGTAGTTTTGAGCCTTATTTCAAAAACAAATTTTTTGAGGTCAGGGGCTCAGAATTATTTGAACAATGTAATAGTATCCTCAAGTTTCAATTTTAATTTCTTAAAACGGGAGTTCACTTTCCAATAATAAAAACTCTAATTTAGGTTACAAAAGGCCAAAAAAACTCGGTTCCATTGATCACTTAGGGACCGTCTGACCTTTCTCGTAATGTAGAAGGAAAAATAACTTCCTAAATGACATAATCCAGGCTGAAATAAGCGTATGTCATATATATTATAAATGTGGCCAAAGGGGCGGGCCGCGTTTGCAAGGAATCTGGCCATATCATACATTATGAGTACACGAATCCAATTTACTGTTGAAACTTTTTACTTTACATTGTTGTGTGGGTAACGGTAGTAATAAGGTTCTTTATAGGAAACATTCGTTATAGGAAACACTTGTATAATCAACTATAATATCAATTTTTATTTTAATTCTAAGCTTTTTTTTGACAAGATACCACTATTGATATCTATATTTCTACGTGTTTTATACTACGATGTCTAGAAAGGCGTATAATGTATATAAACCATCATATCACATTGTTTTTCTCCGTCGCGTCGTATGTTTTGTACAAGATAATATAGCTTTGCATACATTGATCACTTCAGGTTACTCTACCTTCAGTGCCATAGTATAATCGCTGGATGATCACTTCACAATGAACACGATGGATTTAACGCCCGGTCCTGCGGGCATCACGGTTGGTACCAAGAATTGGTCCTACTTTTCGTGCGATCGATTGGAGGAAGTCATCGAGGTTCAGGTAAAACACGAAATGCTTTTTAATTTTTTTAAAATTTTTGGTGATAAAAAATATTTTTATTGAGACGAAATGCATTTTTTGAAAAAAAAATATTTAATTAAAATTTTGTGCTTTTATTAAGTTGTTCAAGTAATTTTGAGCTACTCTCAAAGCAAATTAAATAAAAGTTTTTTAATTTTTTGTAAAATACGGCCAACCTAACTGGTCCATCAAAAAAATTTTTTTTGTAGCTATCAGTTTAAAAAATTCTGAGCCCCTTTTCAAAACAAATTTTCGGGTTTAGATGGCTCAGAATTACTTGAACAACCTTATAATTTTTAAATTTAAAAAACTTTTAACTAATAACATTTCTTATCATAGATAACATAATTTTAAGCCGAAAAAAGAGTCTATAAAACTCTTAAGCCTAAAAACAAGGAATCATAAGCCTAAATAAGACTAAAGTTTAACAACAGTTTAATGTTGTAATTCCCAAAACCAAGTCACGTTCCGGCGTTCCTGTAACCTTAAACGTGCCAATATGTTCTAGTAACTATTCCGAACTTCCTCTTTGCGTTTATTTATTTAATCCTATTTTATGAAGCCTCCCCGAAGGCTTTAAATCTAATTAAATGCCATTCTTTTAAGTCCTTTTTGGTTTAATGTTTCAATCAGAAAAAGGCGTATAATCTCTGGATAAAATGATGATATTGAATTGCAAAAAGTGAAATTTTAAACTGAGCTGTAGGGTCTTTGAACTTTTAAGTTTTGAATGAAAGATTAGGCTTGACAATAACTTTTGAAAAATAAAATACTGTGTTCTCTCTATATAGTAAACTATCCGTATAAACAAATCTTTTTATAGTAAACAAGAAATTCGACCCTTCTTGATTTGCACTAAAAATTACTTTGTAAAGCCAACACTTCCTATAGTAAACACAAAATGTCGGTCTCTTCAAGTTGCTTATATAGAAGGAGTACTGTCACAAAGAAAGTGCCTGACCTGCCCCGCTCTGGTTGACTTCAAACTTTTTATATAGAAAGATAATGTAAATATAAGAATATAAGGTCTTCAGCAATGTACTAAATCATGCTTTTTAGACAATCTCGAGAAAATCAAAACCAAAAAATTACGTTTTGATTTTCCCACCAAATTGGCATTGTGTTTCAAGCTTCTTTGCCATTTGTTGACTTTTAATTATTTTTTTTAATATACTAATATAAAACCTACAAATAAGCCAACATTTTAAAAATTTTAAGGGTAGCTTAGTTGGGATGTCGGAAAAAGTGCTTGAAACAGAATGCCAAATTTGCCAAATTGGCGGGAAACTCAAATATTTAAAATTTAAAACCCAAAAGCGCTAGCTAAAATTTTTTATGGGTCCTATTGATGGTATAAAGAATTTATATAAAAATTTTGAGCTGATTCTGAGTGTGGTAGGTCTGGTACTTTTTCTGTGAACTGTAAGGTCTTTGAACTTTTAAATTTGAAATGAAATATTAGGCTCGACAATTATTTTTAAAAACGGAAACTTAAAAAAAGGTATAATGAAACAAATCAACTAATTTTTGGCTTTTCAGAATGAATTTTACTGGAAAAACAAAGGCGGAGCCAACACGATCATCTTCCTGTACGGTTTGGTCTGTAGCTTCGGAGCGATGGCCAATCTACTGGTAATTGTCTCCTTTCTACGTACTCCTCATCTACACAATCTACGGAATTACTTCATTGTAAATTTGGCCGTTTCTGACCTACTTATGTGTGTACTGACAGCTCCATTCACCTTATACTTGACTTTGAACCTGTTCTGGCCGTTTGGCAACTTTGCTTGTCAAGGGGTGAGTTTTTGTTAAATTGTGTGACATTATGTATATTACACTTACTGTAATGTAAGTATTATTACCACAGGCTAATTTAAATCTTAATAATTTCAGGTAGCATCAGCTCAAGCAGTGAATCTCTTCGTATCATGCCTAACTCTAGTGTTAATAGCCATGGACAGGTTCTTGTTGACGTTATGTCCAGTGAAGTGGAGATTAGCGGCCAAGGCACCTTTGGCATTTTATGTTGTAGTATGGCTAGCATCCCTCATGTTGGCGCTGCCATACTTTTTTGCTGTTCAAGCAGAGAACGTGGATTTGATCGATCCGTGGAATCAGCCGAGGATCGATGAAATGGTAGGTATCGGTGGTTTTTGAGACTAGGTTTAATTTTGATAAAAAGTTAAGCTTAATTTTAAAAAATATGTTTAAATTTTTGTCTTAAACCTTAAACTTTAAGCCTAAAAATATTGATTTAATACTAGGCTTAAATTTTAAAAGCCATATTTTAAAATTTATTTTTTGTATTTTTAAAAGCCAGTTTGAAACCTAAAAGCTCAATTTCGGAGAAGGAAACGTTTGTCGCTCAATTATGCATAAAACCAGGAAAAACAGACTTTGAGCAATCGGCCGTAAAAAAAAGTTCAAAGTCTGCAAGTAATTTACATCGCCTACATTTTCGGACTCAAAAACTCAAGTTTATAATAATATAAGTCACGTAAATTGGAGCATACTGAGATATTTTTAAAAAATGGGACAAAGTTATGCGATGAAAAGTGTCCTACTACTTTTGGGACAATCTGATACCTTAAAGATAATTATTGTTAGAACTTCGTACTTGACGATCAAAAATATAATCTTGTGAATTATACAACACATACCAACATATATATTATAATAACCTTTTACAGATGGAGTTATGTGGCAAAACCCGCCCGCAAGTTTGTATCGAAAGAACATGGCATCGGCTTCCAGTATCTCGCAAAAGCTACACTTTGATCGTGCTGGCCATACAGTACATTCTACCATTGGTGTCGCTAGGCTTTGCTTACTCTCAAATTGGTTTTACAATTCGAAAGAGAGTCAAGTACAATACCACGGTAGACCAGCATCGGAAACAAATTTTGGCTCAGAGGAACAGGTACGGAACTTTACATTAGTCTTTATTTTAAATGAAACATTACAGTACTTTAGCTATATATGTGTTACGATAAACTTCATAAAGTAACAAATTAGCATTGTAATGTAGTATACAGATTAATAACCTATATTACGTTGTTTATATAATTCTGTGCCCCTCACATCAAAAATTCGCTTTGATAAAGGGCTCAGAATTATTTGAACAACTTAATAATCACGTTTTGCTGCATTTAATAAGAGGTGTATGTTCCAAAATGTAAACAAAACTTATATTGTAAAATACGATCGCTCACATTACACATATTTTTAGAAAAGCCCTGTTACTGTTGTTAACATTGGTATTGGTATATGGAATTTGTTGGTTGCCAATGAATGCCTACAATGTGTTAAACGTGTTTGAAATCATTCAGTTCTCTCAGTACAGGTATGTTTTACCAGGTTTTTGTAATTTTATATATATATTATGTGTAAATTTACGTTATTACAACACGGTTTTACTGTTATTATACCAACTATCATTTTAGGTATATTTACTGTCATTTGATTGGAATGACATCAGCATCGATAAACCCTTTAATGTACGGATTGATCAACGATTCTTTCCGCAACGCCTTCTTTACCATGCTACGACCATTACTCGGCCCGTGCACGAAATACATTGCTGTATCGCCAAATCAACCAACACATACGACATACTCTTTTACTATGATGAATGCGGTAGGTATTTTGAGTCTTACATTATAAAAGGCATTTCTGTATATGGTATTTGACTTTACATTTATTACGTTGTTCAATTAATTCTGTGCCTCTAATTCCCGAAATTAACTTTTAGAAGGGCACATAATTATTTTAACAACTTGATTAAAATATTACACTAGACTCTTTTTATAAGCAACATCAAATGGCTCAAATATTGTTTTTTGCTACCTACCCTACCTTACCCTACCCTACCCTACCCTACCCTATTTTACCCTACCCTACCCTACCTTACCTTACCCTGAGCTTATATACTTTATCATCCTTTTTCAAACCGTTTAATATGTCGTTTTAGGTAAACTCCCCTCGTCGTGAAAGCCCAAAGTTTGCCGAAGCAAATGGCAACAATCACCGTACCGTGCCTTTAATTCAAGTACAACAAAGTGAAGATTCTGCCCTTTTGTCGCCTCCACAACTTTGAGCATACTCTACTTAATTCTACAGTAAAGAAAGTTGAGATAGTTTATCCTATCTTTTGTATTTTTTTTATTGTCTCTCGGGATACTGTAAGGTTAACTTTGAAACTTTTTTATTTTAACTAGTGTTCGATATCATTGTATACTTGTAGCAAAGTTAAGTCGTACCTTAGGACGTGACGCATAAAACGTACTGTCACAGTACATTATTATTTATGCGTAAAAATTTACTACTACAGTGCATTGTTATTATTTTAGTACTATTAGAGTACGATGTATATCTACTGTTTTTCCTTTTTTACAATGTTACTTTAGGTAACCCAAACCAAGAAAGTCTTTTTGTAAATTTGTAAGTCCAATCAGTGCCATTTCAATATCATAGTACGTTGTTAAAGATCTCTAATTGCTTTGTACTCTGTCAGTATATCCATTATCATCACAACTCAAACATTCAACGGGATTTTTACTTAAATTGTTTATTATCAATTACATTGTAAAGCTTTTGAAAATCGCAATTAAAGTAATGCTGATAATTCGAAAACTAATAACATGACAATTTCCAATAGAAGTTGTGCTAATTATGTTTTCATTTATGTTATATTTAGGTTGTTGTTTTTTTTTCCGGGGGTGGTGTACATAATGTACATAATTGCAACAAAAATAAGTTACACAGCACAATAATTTAGCCTTTCTCTTTCTTCTTGGGCGAAATAAAACAGTGGAACTCCTTAATATAATAACGATTCGCTCGAGCATTTACAATTTGTGCGTTATAAAGAAGTTTTGTTTTAGACGAGTTTTAGATGTACAGTGTAGTAGTAGACAAACATTAAAAGATTGTTCGTTATACAGAAGTTTCGGTGTAAGGGAGTTCGTTATACAGAAGTTCACTGTAAATTGAGGAATCAATCTAATGTGGTCGAACCTGGCTTGCAGAAGGCGGTACCTTCAAATCCCGCCGGTTGTAGTTTGACGTTTTGCCATTATAACAAGAAGCTTTTGCTAGCTAAGTAATAATAACCACATATTACACATAAAAAATATTTTTTATTTGTAATTTTTGCTTTTATAGTAAAATTCCTGGGTAACAAACTCCCTTATAACGAAATTTTTGTATAACGAACAACATTTAAATGTTCCACAGTAGTTACTCTTAAAAAATAAGATTAATTTTGTCAACTACTATATTTACCAACTTGCTTTACAAGGAACTAATTGACATTACATCGTATACATAACCACATCTTACACTTATGAAACTTTAATTATAGTGGTCATTTGGGCTGATCACTAGCAAGCTCTTTCCTTATAAATTATTACAAAAACTCTGACAGTAAGATTACTATGTAAGATTACTATAATTGTTCGTCGGTAAATCTTACTCGGAACGTAACGGAGTAGGTACGGTCAAAAACAAACCTTACAATTAAAAGCCGTGCGTTCGTGTTGTAATGAGTAGGTATGAGTAATGATAAGACACGCTTCCTTCTCTTAATGGGCGTCGGATTACATTTTGAGCTATGATAGTTATTTACATTTATGTTAAGATAGCTACCGTAGAGTCATAATATTTTACGTATCTTGTGTTGCAGTTACAGCTCGGTATCTACTGTTAAAGTATTTATTGTTGGTGTAGTTTACCTTTAAGTACTTTCTTTATTGTTACAAATCATACTGTAAGTTTTTCAATTGCTAAGTCTTACTGTAACCAAAAAATACTAATGTAGATTTTGAACGTGCCAAACAGTGTATTTTAATTCTATTTACTACTAAAACTAGAAGTATACGCCATTTTACATTACTTGAGCATCCTTTAAGTTTTACATTACCTAAAAAGCCTTTAACTTGTAGCAACAATCTTGTACTTCTAATTACTACTAATAAAATACTTGTTTACATCTTCACGAGAATGTCTTGACTTTGAGTACAGACTACATGCTATATTTCGAAATAAATATTTCCTACTGACAGTACAGTATTTATTCAATCTACTGTGGCTCCCAATTTTTCAGTATCTACTTTCAAGTACATAACTCTTGAAATGGATCTGGAAACAACGTACTATATAGTAGGGGTCGGTATATCGACCATCAACATTTTACTATGCGTGACAGTTATCTTTGTGTCATTTTACATCAACTCAAAGAGTAATGAAGAGTATGCCAAAGTGATCGCAGTGAATACCATCATTGACTTTACGTACTCTGTTGTCAATGCGCTTACTGTGTCAGTAAGTTTGTATTGTTTTTTTACTATATATTCGTTTACTTCTTTTATACCGTATATTTTACTTTAGAAATTTACTATAATTTAGTTCCTTCTTATAACACACTTTGAATTTAAAATTTTTTTTAATTTTAAAATCTTTTTCTCTATACTTTACTGTATCTTCAGAGCTCATTCACATCCTCCAACTACATCTACAAGTTCATCAATGGCCCTATATTCGTTGACTGTTCAGAAAGCACAGCCAACAACGTTCTTCGTGTTCACATCTTCTTCACCAGCCTTCTAGGTGTCTGTAAGGCGGTACACTTCTCCTACAAAGCTGACACACTGTGCCATAGCAAAACATGGTCAGTCAGAAAATACTGTTGTGTATACGCATTCTTTTCCTTATTTTGTGCAGCCGAGGTAGTCTTATCAATTTTCAACATATCAGAACATAATGCTGTTACAGAAGCTGAAGTCAAGGAGTTCTACGTTGATGATGATACGATTCCGCCTTACATCGCTTTTGGCTTTGTAAGTTTTACAGAGTTCGATAAGTTTAAGCGTTAAACCAAATAGTTCATTAGTAACATATTTATTTGCTTTGAGGGCTCAGAATTAAGTTAACAACCTAATTACATTTTAGGACAATCCTATCTTAAAATACGGTTCAACCTATACCTTATCTCTACGATTCGTATTGTATGTTATCGCCTTTTATAAAGGCAAAAAGATAATTTATGTTATGAGGTTAAAGACCTATAAGAGTAAAATTGAACTGGCCCAAAAACACGTTGTTCGAGTTATGATATTACAGGTACGTTGAGATACTAAAGTTATAAGCAAAACTTGCTAATTTTACAGTACAAAACCACCAAACTTTACACCTTTTAGCATACCTTACCTTAACAAAAAACTAAATTGCAGGCATTATACCCACTGTTGGTGTTTGTGCTCCCTTATGCAGTACAAATCTACTTCATTTTTACTGGTGGTCGCATTAGATTAGTGTTCTTCTTTTTGGGTACTTTCCCTCAGACAATGCCTGCCTTAAACGCAATTACAGTAATTACTTTAATACCGGCTTATCGAAGGTCTCTCAAGAGTTTAATCTACAGAAATGAGAAGGTTACGACAACAGTTACGGCTGTCAGCAGCTGCGTCAGCATTCGTAATCATAATTCTTGATAAATTATATTGTTTTTTATATATTTTATTGTTATTTATATTACACAAGGGTTATTTTAGCCATACATAGCATAGAAAGCCCATATTTTAGTTAATAAAGTTAAAAAATTATTTTAAAAACTTAAATTTTTTCAAATTTTCTAGACCAGCCTAAGATAACATCATATTCTTAGTAATATAACATATCGTTTTATTATAAACATCAAATTAAACATAAAGAAACCAGTACCACAATCCAGGTTAATCTGAATCCGAGTCGTGTCTTCTGCTCTTCTTGTGCTTGTGATGTTTTTTCTTCTTTTTATCCTTCTTTTCTTTCTTCTCCTTCTTCACCTTGCCTCCCAATATCTTCTTCATCAACTTCTTCTTCTTCTTTTCGCTTAATCCAGACAAGAACTCATCGATATTGTTGGGCTCCTTCTTTTCACCCATATTCATGATGCTTTGTTCTGTTGTCAGTCGATTCAACACATTAGTTTTAAACTTTAAATTGTGTTCTTCTCTCATATTCTCCAACAACTCCTTTTGTGTTACCGGCTCTCGCTTTTCGTCTTCTGAATCTGAACCTGAATCCGATAGACGAGGCTTTACATCCTTGGCATCTTCATGATAATGTTTTGAAGTCGATGGCTTGGCTTCTTCCCATTCATCGTTGTCCTCCTTCTTTTCTGGTTTGTCCTTGTCTTCACGAAGTGATTTTATAAGTTCTGATGGGTTGTTTGAGTCTGAAAAGAGTAATTTAGGTAACAAAACCTTGGTTAACGTAAAATTATTATTTTATTCATTAAAAATTAAACTTTTTCTACTTTTACCCTAAAAACAAGCAATTTAGATTAAAACTTACATCCTTTATCCTCTGCATTACCACTGTATCCATACAAAGGACACTCCCTATCAGTATTCAAATGTCCCCAAGTTTTACATCTAACACATCTCACGTTCCTGACCTGAATACCAAAAGGCTGGTCCTGAATCAGATCGTTGTCCTTTGCCCATTCCTCTCTCGGAGCATTATATTTCCGTTGCCATTCGAATTTGGGCTCCTTTTTTTCTTCTTCCTTCTTGACCATGCCAGCTGGAGCATCGTACATAAAACTGAGACCAAGGCGAGCTTTCTCGTCACCCAACAAAGCCTTGTTGTTCAGCATTTCTTGTTCACGTTCGTATTGAATCTTCAGCTCTTCCTGACGCTTCTGCTCCATGTCGTGCTTTTGCTCGGCTTCCCATTTCTAAAACAGTAATTTATAGTTAAAATAAATTAATCAAATATAATTTTAAAGTTTAGCAAGACGAAATTAAGGAAAAAGCAGTCATTTTGATATTAACTATGACCAATGTTTTGTCAAACTTCTAAATTGCCAAAAATCAACTAAAAAACTTACTCTTTTAAGATTCCACCATGCTGAAGGATGGAAGTCCTTCTTGGACATAAAATTTTGGAAACCTTTCCCCATTTTTATTTTTGTTGAAGACTTGGTACCAAAATCTGAAACAGATTTTAGATAACAATAACTGAATTTAATATAAATTATTAAAAAACTATCATCTGAAGCAACATAAATAATATAAATAAATTAAATTACAAAATGATTGCAAATAAAGTAAGTTATACAAAGTAAAACAAAACACGAGGTAAAATAATATCATTTCTACAAATTTCAACACAAAAAGCAGTGGACACTTCGCAATAAATAAAATCAATAGTGGACACTTCGTAGCTAATAAATAAAATAAAAATGAAATTTAATTTCAAATCAAATAAGACATGGTTTTGATAGAATAAAGTAAATAAAGGTTTAAATAAACTTGCTTTATGTTATTCATAATCTTGGTTTACTTTTATGGTATATCATGAACAATATCAGGTAAAAAGTTCATGGTTGGTTTATAGGCGTTTTTAGATTGATGTTCTTATTACCCTATTGTAGACGTTGAAATTTAAGCATACAAATATTAATATTTCGAATATGCTTTAATATGTATTTTGAAGGTTTTTCTGTCTTTTTAATGTACTTTTCTAAAACTTTACTTTTATTTACTTTGACATAATGTCAATTGAAAGTATGACAAACGGCACTGACTACGCTAATCCAAAAATAATTTTAAAAAAATTTATTTAGCAGTCCAAAATGACTCGTTATATGCACTAAATAATGCATTTTTAAAAGAAAATCTACAAATTTGACCGATGACATGTTTTATAGACGCTTATAAGAAGCGCGCTTACGTTTAATACAATAGATAATAATGTTAGTATGACAATCTTGTAATGAAAAACAGCTTTTGACAATATAAGAATTTAAAAGTTAAGATAAATAAAACTCTCTGGGTACAGTAGTTCCAGTAAAGGCGTCGGTAACGCTGACTTGTTGCCTCTTAACACTGTTCTTCAATACGCCAAACAACTTTCTCACTCCAATGTTGTATCTTTTGTAGAACAACAACACAAACACCATAACGAATGTGGGATAAGCATAGAACAGACGGTACACAACATAGTACCCAATGACATGTTTCTCGATTGGCAAGTAAATAGGTATAGCGACGTAAGGTACGATGAACCAGACAAACTCGGCTAGAGTTTCAATGAGCAGATTGAGGATGAGCAAGTGGTACAGTTGACGAGTATTGGCAGTAAGACGGTTGCTTGGATCCATTTGGAAACGGTAACACTTGTAGGCACAGATGGAGCTAATTACCACGGTTAAGGGGTAGAACAAGAGTTTGAAGGCACGAGTGGTGTAGCCTGCCTGAAAACCATATTGTTTACAGTAATGAACTCTGAATGACTGTTAATTTTAAAAATGAGTTGTTGTTACCTAAAAAGCAAAATATGCCAAACTTCTATTTCTACCTGTATCCACAATTAATTTTATTTTAACACAACCCATCAAAATTTTTTTGAAATATAAATTAATAATTTTAAATTTTAAAAATGCGTACGCCACTTGAGATTCCAAGGACGTCTCCGATCCAAGTACTAATCAAGCGCACCGTTGCTTAACTTGCCATGTCGGACGGGATGGCGTGCGTTCAACGGGCTATGGGCGTACACATTTGCCTCTCATTTGATTTTTGACACATTTCATATGATTGAAATAAAGAGACGCAAGAAGAAAAAACGGAGAGAAGAGAATGGGAAGAGAAGCAAACGAGAACTTTTTTGCGGCAAACCCAATCAAACAACAAGTGGAGAAATAAAGGCATTGCTTTGTTACATAGGTATCTTCGCTATAAATAGCCTAATTGAGGTTAGCATATAAAACGGCTCATGAAAATGTGGCTGTTTTTTAAATTTTGGAATGTTCAACTTGTGTTGAACTTATATTATTATTATTCTGTTGAACGTACACCAGTAACTTCTTATTTATCGGTTTTTCTCAAATAAACTTACTCTAATATAGGTAACACTATGACTCATGATGTATTCTTTCAACTCAGCATTATCATTTGGAAATTGTAGTTGAAACTCTCGTCCATCTTCTAATCCATGTCTACCATCGATAATTGTCATGAATAATATGAACAATAATAACATGAGTAAGCCCAAAAAGAAGAGTTTGTGCGACATTAAATACAATATCTTCTGTCTGTTTGTACTTTGAGCATAACGATATACAAATCTGCACAAGGTTGTTACTGTGTACATTTCAAAGAAAGCAAAGGCCAAAGCTTGGAGGACTATGGCCAGTTCAGGGATCTGAAAAGTGGGGTTTGGGTAATATTGTTGTTGGCCTTTATAAAGATATTTTATGATAAGGAATCATAAGATTAGGGTACTATTAGGTTGCTCAAATAATTCTGTCCCTTGTAACCTCAAAAATTTGCTTTGAGAAGGAGCATAAAATTATTTGAACAAACTAATAATTCTGCTTGAAGTTGTTAATGTACTTACTTGAAAGTAATCGATGACACCACGAGAGATGGTAAAACGGTAAAATTCAAAAACTTCAACTTCATACGACGCCATTATCATGATGTAAAGCTGGACAGATGTGATAGACCAGATAATGTACCTAAAGCAATGTAAAGAACTAATAGCTTTGAAATCAAAACATAAAAATAGAGTTTTTACCAAAAATATTGCTTAAATACTGCAGTATGCTATTTTAAAAACCAAAAACTGATGTCTTACCACTTGTACGTAGCCATGATATCAGTAGAATACTTGACAACACAGAACATTGTCAATACGTATAGCACCGCGTTGACAGATTGTATTATCCAAGCATAGACTACAAATACAGACCTAACGTTTTCAGGTACCAAATCAAAATTGTGGTATGTAAAATTGAATTTCATACCTAATTTTAGGCTTAAGTATTTTGTAAAGAAGATATTTAAAAACACTTTTTATAATTTTTTAGGCTTAATTAACTCAAGATTAAAAAAAAGTTTTTAAGTTAAATTTTAAAAGTGCTGTCTCAGAACCAACATTGTACCTTTTTATAGACCGTAGTCTACGTAGTCAGGTGCAATTTTAGTCCAAAAGAGATTAGTGTCACATAAGGGCAGGTAATATTTTCGTAAATTGCAGCAGTTCATTAATAAATCACCAGCACAGTGTTTAACTACGGTTATCTGGTATTCTAAAACGCTGAGTTTCAGAATACAAAATAAACGTTTTTAAGCCATAAGGTCATAACTTGAGTACGATGACGCAGATACGTTTTTAACATTTGTTATGCTAAGTATACATTATTGGACGTATAGGCTAGGGTTGGACATTTACCGGTAAATTGATTTTTCGGTAAAAATTTTACCGGTTTTTACCGGTGTCCAATTTCGCGGGAGTGATGTCCACGGAATCGGAGGTTTGCTTCACAATGTCTCGCGGACGATAGGATCTCGTCCTTATTCTACCTAGAAGCAATTAGAACCAATAAACAATTAGTACAAGTAGTATCAGATCGTAGAATAGGTATCTCGACCTCTAAAATAATATCCCACAAAATAGATATCAAAGTTTATTAGAAATCGAGTAAATCAAATACCAACCTACTCTTACTTGACAAAAGTGTTCAACAACCTGTTCCTCCAATTCTCTCGGCTCCTCGACTTCTCATCTATTCGCCTTTGGCACGACAGCTCGTGTCCAAAGTCCAAAATAGACGCCAAAAAGCCTCGACAACATCGACGAACAGCAAAGAGAGAGACATGACAATTGGAGTCAAGTGTCACTCAATAAATAAATCAAACATTTTATGAAGACATGTAAATTAGACAAAGAGTTCCTTCAGGACGATCCGATGGAATCGGACACTCCCGAGGGCGAAAAGTGAGGTGGGGGAGAGGAGATAAGAGAGACCTGACATAAAGCATAAAAAATAACATAGACATACATCAAAATGCATCATACACAGACATAATCAACCTAAATTTAACCAGTACGATCTTTACTATCAGACAAACAGAGATCAGTTCAGAGTCATGGTCTTTCTCAACCGTTGATCAGAACCTCGCTTGACCCGCTGCTCCCGCTCCATCGTCCCGATCCTCACGTCCTTCCCAAGGCTTCTTGACTTGTTCCACCACGTCCCTTGGGTAGTCCTCCCATGCCACTTCATGGCTTCGTTGCTCCTTCATTGCTTGCCATAGAGCCATCAGCTCTTCCACCATTCCATCACTTGGAAGTCCTCTGAATCCATCCAAGTCGATCCATCTGATCTGAAGGAAAGGCATTCCTTCAATCTGACGTCTGTTCACTTCAAACAACTCTTGACGATCCTCTGGTCTTGTTACCAAGTAGGTTCTGACGATGATGTCCTGACCCGCAGCTTGATAATAAGGGTTAATACCCTGAGCCAAGTCTCCAATGATCGTTCTCAACATCCTTGAGTCAGTCAGCTTCAGTATCCAAACCAAAACCATCACTTGATAGTCGACCATCACGTGGCGTCCCTTCAGATTTCTGATGAACACATCCACTGGGATGTCGAATCTCGCGGCCTCGTAGGTTCTCGGGTGACCTGGTCTCCTTCTGTTCATCTGACGAGGCAACTCCTCCATCTGATAGAAGTCGGAAACCACCCATACCTGGCAATCCACATTCAAATTCCGGACCCTTCTGATTCCAGATGCCAACCAAAAGTGCTCCTGACGGTGTCTGTTGACGGCTAGCGCGTAGCGATGACTAGTAACGTAGCACGGATCATCGTACTGCTCCAACATTGAAACCAGCGGCTCTTCCTGCGACGCTTCCATCCGTAACAAACAGCTGTTCAAGCCTTCCCAGACTGTTTCGTGGAACAGTCTGGGACCTTCAGATGGAGGAGTTGCCTCGTCAGATGAACAGAAGGAGACCAGGTCACCCGAGAACCTACGAGGCCGCGAGATTCGACAGAATCCCAGTGGATGTGTTCATCAGAAATCTGAAGGGACGCCACGTGATGGTCGACTATCAAGTGATGGTTTTGGTTTGGATACTGAAGCCGACTGACTCAAGGATGTTGAGAACGATCATTGGAGACTTGGCTCAGGGTTTTAACCCTTATTATCAAGCTGCGGGTCAGGACATCATCTTCAGAATCTACTTGGTAACAAGACCAGAGGATCGTCAAGAGTTGTTTGAAGTGAACAGACGTCAGATTGAAGGAATGCCTTTCCTTCAGATCAGATGGATCGACTTGGATGGATTCAGAGGACTTCCAAGTGATGGAATGGTGGAAGAGCTGATGGCTCTATGGCAAGCAATGAAGGAGCAACGAAGCCATGAAGTGGCATGGGAGGACTACCCAAGGGACGTGATGGCACAAGTCAAGAAGCCTTGGGAAGGACGTCAGGATCGGGACGATGGAACGGGAGCAGCGGGCCAAGCGAGGTTCTACGGTTCCTGAGCTGATGATCCTCTGTGTACAGGCGTAGAACTTCTCTAGCGCTTCTGGCGCCTCGTCAAGTCCACAGTCCTTCGGCAGGTTTGCAAGGTTCGTCATCAATTCCATAGGTTTGACAGCACACTCGGTGAACTTCTTCTGGATTCCCATGACCGCCTTGTAGTAGGAATCACCTAGTTCATCAATTCCTTCCAGGTACGTGAGGATTCTATCTAGCATATTATCCCGCAACATCGCCGCTTTGGCACGGGGCGTGTAGAAGGTGTTCGGAGCAACCAAAGTGTTAAACCTGTTGATAAACATCTTCCATGCTCTCTCGGAGACTTCTGTCACTGGCTTGATCTTAGTCGGGCCACCTCCTCTTCCTAACGAACCATACGTTATCATATGCGCTCGGCACTTGCACACCAATCCATTTGGAGTGACTTCATTGGCCAAGCAGAAGGTGTCGAACTCTTCTGGCGTCTTGTGTGTCTCGACCATGTCAGCTCTCGAGCGGCAAGTGGAGCGGGAGATGGTTGAGAGTCGTTCGTCTTCTGAACCACTTGAGTAAGGTCCATCCTGACTCGAAATATCATCCTCCACTTTCTTCTGCTTTGGCTTGACCATAATGCCTATACAAGACTGCAAAGTTCGTAGCTCTACATCTGAACATTGTCCAACCAAACCCATAATCGATTTGATTGAGTGTCCAGCTCCAGCATCAAAGTTACCTTCTCCTGATTTTGGCTGATCATCTCGGCTTTTTCGCGTCCTTTCTGGCTCCTTAACCACCTTCTTTGGACCTGGCTTGCATCTCGCCTTCCTCGTTGTCTTCTTCGGTGCCTCGACCTCTACTACATATTCGGGGTCTTCTCGGTCATCGCTTGGGCCTTCAGCCTCATCATCATAATCAGAAATGAAGATATTACCATCATCTTCGATGCCTTCTAGCTCTTCCTCCTTTTCATCGTCCTCACCTCTAATAGCATCCATCTCTTCACATGCTTGAGGACTTGCCTGTACTCGCCATGATGCTGAATCACTCGTTCTCTCGATCTGATACTTGTCCTGGATCTCTTTCAGCAACGAATTCGTGGCCAGGAACTTCTTGACCTTCGTTTCAGCTTCCATATACTCCAACGTCATTAATCCAGTGATAGGAGAAATCGCGTCTCTTATCTTCTGCTTCGTTTCTTCGGAAATGCTGGAAAGGTGCTTGATCCTGCTCACGAGGTGCATCAGATCGTCGTACTGCGCCTGATAATCGACGTATTGGGCGAACCATTTCGATGCTTTGGCCACTGGCAGCGCGTGCAGCTGATCGATGTGTGGGCCGATGAGCTTGGCGCTTGTGACGTTCATCTTCCTGTGGTACTTCTGCAGTCGATTGAGCTCGCGGCTCGCCCTCTCTTCGCCAATCCTTGTTGCAACCATCGTTACCTCCTTGTCCTGGTCCTGCTCCTAGTGCAGACAGGATTCTGTCCGTCCTGGTTCGTATTTTGGCTTGAGCCCCCAGAAACTGTCCAATTCCGCGGGAGTGATGTCCACGGAATCGGAGGTTGGCTTCACAATGTCTCGCGGACGATAGGATCTCGTCCTTGTTCTACCTAGAAGCCATTAGAACCAATAAACAATTAGTACAAGTAGTACCAGATCGTAGAATAGGTATCTCGACCTCTAAAATAATATCCCACAAAATAGATATCAAAGTTTATTAGAAATCGAGTAAATCAAATACCAACCTACTCTTACTTGACAAAAGTGTTCAACAACCTGTTCCTCCAATTCTCTCGGCTCCTCGACTTCTCATCTATTCGCCTTTGGCACGACAGCTCGTGTCCAAAGTCCAAAATAGACGCGCCAAAAAGCCTCGACAACATCGACGAACAGCAAAGAGAGAGACATGACACTTGGAGTCAAGTGTCACTCAATAAATAAATCAAACATTTTATGAAGACATGTAAATTAGACAAAGAGTCCCTTCAGGACGATCCGATGGAATCGGACAACCGGATTATTATTTGGTATTTAAAAACTTTAAAATGTCATTAAAACGTTCAATAAGCGTTTTAAAACTAAAACAACAAAAACAATAAAATAGTAAGTATTTCACTCTTTTACTTTAAAAAACAACTTATAAGTCCAATAGCTCTGTCCACTTCTTTTTCCCTACCGGTATATGTTATGTTGACGTAGCTAGTCATAGATGATTGGATGACCATTGTCCACTAGACTCTGCTTTGTTCGATGGAATCTTTTGTTTTCCTTATTTTTGCTTATATAATTGCACGACCTGTTCTTGATCATTTGAAGATATCTTAGTGCAATTGTTTCGCTAAATAATCACACACCTATACATAAAGTATCAAAAATCAACAAGAAAGATTAAAAATTGAATTTTCCGTCCTTGTGAGTTGTTGGCAAAAGATGTTGGTACAGTCTTGTAAGGTTACTGACGTATTTTTCACCACAATAATTGCAAAAGTAGTCATTATGTGTTCTTTTGTAACAGTCTTTGATATTTTTCAACATATTTTGTCAAAATATTGCTAATTTTCCAAAACAAAAACAAATTTTGAAACAAAAATAGTTTTCGTGCTAGAACACAAAACACTTTTTTACCGGTAAAAAACCGAAATTTTCGGTAAATTACCGGTAAATGTCCAACCCTAGTATAGGCTTTATTATGTATAGTAAAAAATGCACTTTACTAAAATTGTGTAATAAAGCAAGTTTTGGTCGTAATTAAATGAGTTGATGGTTTAAAGTTTTATAATTTTCTTAATTAATTTTAATTCTATATAATTTTGGGCAGAGCAAGACTACATAATAATATAAGTTCAACACAAGTTGAACATTCCAAAATTTAATAAACAGCCACATTTTCATGAGCTGGTTTATAGCTAACCTCAATTAGGCTATTTATAGCGAAGATACCTATGTAACAAAGCAATGCCTTTATTTCTCCACTTGTTGTTTGATTGGGTTTGCCGCAAAAAAGTTCTCGTTTGCTTCTCTTCCCATTCTCTTCTCTCCGTTTTTTCTTCTTGCGTCTCTTTATTTCAATCATATGAAATGTGTCAAAAATCAAATGAGAGGCAAATGTGTACGCCCATAGCCCGTTGAACGCACGCCATCCCGTCCGACATGGCAAGTTAAGCAACGGTGCGCTTGATTAGTACTTGGATCGGAGACGTCCTTGGAATCTCAAGTGGCGTACGCATTTTTGATTTTTAAAAACTAAAAGTGTTTGTTAATAGTTTTTAAAAATTTTGATGTTTTTTTTTAAACTGTGGTATTTTTGGTTTTTTATCAGTTTTTTACTTTTGGTTAGGAAGAAATAGAAGTTTGGCATATTTCTGCTTTTCAGGTAACACGTTTTTTTCATAAAATATTTTTCCTTTGAAAGTTTTGACAATTTTTAATGTTCAAAAGTATTAACTTTTATGTATTTTTTGTAAATTCATAATTTTTAGCTTAAAATACGTTTCCAAAAAATATTGTTACGTCATTTTTAGCCTACAAAATATTTCGTGCGACCTTTTGTGGTTTCTTCACTAATTGAAGAGGTCGGAAGGACAGATGCTTCCGTGGCGCAATCGGTTAGCGCGTTCGGCTGTTAACCGAAAGGTTGGTGGTTCGAGTCCACCCGGGAGCGAGTGCTTTTTTGATTTTTACAAAAATTTTTAACTTCAACATAAGAATCCTAAATATAACCAAAGGTTTTTATTGGAGTGTTATATCTGCCACCGTAACATTTCAAAGTATAAAGCAACAGGCCAAATAAGTTCTTGATATTATACCTTTCTTGTGTTTCCACAATCCACAATAACATACGAAAGCACGAAATTACAATTTATTTACATAAAGTAGAACATAATTACTCTTTTTTGATTCGTCTTTTGGTCATTTCATCCAGTCTCATCTTCTCCAATGTCAACTTTCGTTCCTGACTGTTCAATTCGATTAAAATCTTCTGAAGTCCCTTTTCCTCAACCTTCAGAATCTGTAAACGTTTCTGCAGTTGAGCACGATCAACTTCTGTCACTTTATCTGGTTTCAGATCTTCAAAGGTCGACGTAGAAGCGATTGGATCCATTTATTTATTTAAGCAAACTAATTTACATTTCTTTTTATAATATGTCATTAAACAAAATAAAAAAAAATATTGTTTTTGGAAACCTTCACCTTTTGTACAAACAACTACTGATAACAACAAAGAGTTTATAACAAACAACAACATAACAATAAACAGATTGTAAAAAACAAAAAAAATAAAACTTCAAAATCGTTAATCCCTTTTGTAAGTCTTGATAGTGTTATCCTTTCCTCCACTTGCAATCAGTCTGTCATACGACCAGTCGACTGTCAGAACGTGTCCTTTGTGGCCAGAGATGTCAAACAATGAGGCGTCTGTGCTTCTGAAAAAAAATCATTTCGTCTAATTTAAATCAAAAAGCGTCCAGAAAAATGTAAAAAAGTAATTCTATGCAATTTTTGACCGATAAATATTTGAAATTAGATCCAAAAAGTCATGAAAAACCGAAAAATTTTAATTTTCGATTTTAAAGGCTAAAAAATATTTTCAGAGTACAGTAACCTACCGTACATCCCACATTTTGACAGTTTCGTCAAATCCACAAGATACGAATAGATTTGGGTCAGCTGGACTCCAACACACATCAGAAACAACGGAGAAATGTCCTTTAAAGAGCTTCTTCACCATGCCTCCCTCTAAAATAATTAAAATAAGACAATCCTTTTTAAACTAACACTATCACTGAAATATTTGTCAAAAACTTCATTTTGACAATAATCCACTTATCATATAAAAAACTTAAACAAGTCAGGCTTTGTAAGTAAAACTCTATTTTTTCCTAAAAAAACAAAAAGCAAAAGATTTCTTACCTTGACTTCTGAAGTCCCACAGCCTTATCGTAGAATCCATAGAAGCCGTAATAACAAGTCCATTAGATTCTTGAACAGAAATCGATTGGAATGCCTTGTTAGAAGTCAGTTTATTGACTTGATCAGCTGTTTCCACATCCCATAAACAAATAGATTGATCCCACGATCCAGAAACAACTTGATTCTCATTCGTAGTATTCCATACGACAGACGTTACTGTGTCTTTGTGAGCTTCTATAGTACTAATAGGTACTCTAGTAACCACGGATGCCTTCTTTTTCTTCGCTTTTGATCCGTCTTCACCACTTTTCACAAAATCTGTTTCAGAAGCTTCTACACCCCAGATCTTCAAACATTTATCAAAGCCTCCACTAACAATCTTGCCATCTCTGTTTACTGCCACTGTTTCTACACTTCGTTCGTGCCCTCTGAAAGCGACTTCAGCGGTCATGTCTTTAGAGGTAACCTTGTACAATGTCAGAGTTTGATCCGTGCCTCCTGTTATCACATAATCATTTCCTTTGTGTTTAAAATGCTCCACGCATCTTAGAGAATCATTGGCTAACGTAGTGGTGTGAAGTTTATTGCCTTTGTGAGAAAATATAGATAAATCTCCACAGTAATTGGCTGATATTATCCTGAAAGCAAAGGTAAGATTAGTTTTCTCATTTCTTTGTTCACTACCAACCATGTTTACTTATACTTTGATTTATAAAATAAAAAAACTATAATTTATACTTAAATTTTCTTTCACCCAAAACAATAAATAACTTGCCATTTATCGGTGACCTTAACATCGGACACCCAATCGTTATCTTCAATAGATTTGTCAGGTTTCGGCGCGGATTCACTTAAGAAACATTCAATTTCAATAACGCCTTCATCATTTAACTCGTTTGATGTCACAAACTCAAACAAACTCGTCGACAACAACTTTTCATTGATCAAAAAGCTGAATTTATCCTTGAACTCTTCTGAAATGAGTTTATTTATATTTAAACTCTTACTATGCTTCAACGTATCTAAAGACATACCTAAAAACATAAGCTATCTAATAAAACAAACATACCTTCATCATCAAGCTGAACAGCCAAAACTTCATTTAAACCTTCTGGATCCAAGTTTACTGGGACTGCGAGTTCAATTGACGGGATTTTTGGTGATCTAAAGTGAAAGTAGTTGATTATAAGACAATGCTAAACAAAAACACCTATTTTTAATCTTCTTAAGCCAAAAAACAATCCAAAAAACCATTAAAAAAACTAAAATAACCTAAGGCAATATATAAATCAACTTACTTTGGGTCCGTGGAATAAAATCTAATGTTATATTGTGAATCTAAATCGGTTTCCGCCATTTTTAACGAATTTTAACAAAAATCTTCGAAAAAATTAAATTTTCCAAAAAATATTTTTCATTTTCTTGTTATAAACGTTTTCGTGGTGGGACTTAGAGCAAATGTTTCTGTTGATAATGAATTTGATTAGAGCACTGATAAGTTGATGACCTATTCGATGAATTACCTTGGAGTTTTGCATATTTTTCATTTTTAACTTGGAGTTATTTCAATTCAAACTTTTTACTTCTAAAATACGTCTTCATTAACGCTTATTACCCAAAAAATAAAATAAAAGTTTGAAGATAACATCTTTGTTAATTCCTTACTTATTGACTGTCTTTTGTGAGAATTAGATATTTTTCAAGTCTTTCGACACTTTTGTTTGTTCAACTTTACATAAATATAATACTTTCGCTTTAAACCCTTTTACTTTTTATGACTTTGAGAAGTCAACTTGAGGTTCGCTTTTGTTTTTTCGATGTTCTACGTAGCTCTCTGAGTTTTTATGATTAATTAAAAACATTATCTTGAAATTTTTACTAATTTCATAGGGTTTTCTAACGAAACTTTTACTATAATATCTGTTTTTCTTCAGTTTTGTTACCTAAAATGACGTTTTTGAGTCAATTACAAGTTGTTGGTCTAAAATTTTGTTTTAGATTTTTGAAAAATTTACTAGAAATTTACATGCTAAATCCTTTTTGCAAGTTCAGTCAAACTCTACAAACTTTTTGACTAAAACAGAGCTTCACATTGTTAATGTCAATGTTAATATCGAAACTCTTTTAAAAGGCATATGTGTGTTTGAAAAGATCAGAATAAGGTCAGTTTTGTTTATTTTTGTCTTGTGACAAAATATTCACTTCAAATTTATGTGGAAAATCCATTAGTTTATTCAAAACAAAGTTATATTACTCATGGTTAATATCTCATCACTGTTTTGAAATTGCAATAAAGCAAATAGTTTATAAAATAACTTTCGCAAACTGAAAATTGTTGTTAAAATAACTTTTTTAAATTTTAAAAAATTTCATTTTTAAGGTTTTTGTGAAAAAATTTAAAACATTGTGGAAATATAGGTTCAGGTAAAGGTACTGTAACTTTGAAGTGATTGTAAATTAAAAAATTTGGTTTTTGAACTAGTTGGCGAAAGGAATAGTCTAAAATTCTACAAAGTTTTAAATCTGTAGCTGTGTGGTAAGAAAAGTTGTGAGCAAATTGGCTTTCTTACCTTCAAATTGGCGGAAGCTGGCCGAACTGTATACTTTTGTAACTGGCTGTAACTTTATACTAATGAAACCGGCTTTATTTGTATACTACTGTAACTGGCTACAACTGTACTACTGTAACTGGCTTGAACTGTTTAGTGATTTAACTGGCCTAATACTGTAACTGTATGTTTTTGTAAAACATCTTTGGCTCTTTATTCAAATTTAAAATTCTTGAATTTTCATGAACTACGCCACTACTTTTTAAAACTCTTATATCTAAAAGTCATTTTTGAAGCCCCAACAAGTTGTAAACTTATTTTTTAGCAATTCGAAACAACAACATAGACTTTCCGCCTGAAGCAAGGCATGAAGCCGATATGGAACGTCATTTCGTTTTAATCAGATCAGTTGTGTTTCTGTCGGTTCGTCTCATTTAGAATTATATGCGGTCTTGTGAGTTTTGTGTTCTGCTTCTCGAATAAAGTCGGCCTCAAAGCTTTTTGTTATTTTAAAGTAGGCTCATTACTTTTACAATTTCTGTTTTGTTTTGCTTACAGTCGTTCTTGTTTGGGCATTTCGGTTAGGGGGGGGATTATATTTTAGGTTTAGAAGTTGAAAATAGCTTGAGAATTAAAATTTTTTGATTTTTAAAAATTAAAAATTAAAAAAATTTTTTATTAATTTGTTCAAATAATTTTGAGCATCTCAACTTCATAAATTTGCTTTAAGACAGTGCAGAATTATTTGAACAACTTAATACTACGATAGTAAAACACTGATACTATGCAATGCATGAAAAAGATGTTTTAGTAAAAATAATATATAGAAGATGTTTAGGTTAAATACGGAAATTTTGGTGTTTAATATTATCATATCTAGGTTTTGCTATAAATTTGTAAAAATATGGGTTTAGCAACAAAAATGGCGCAGAATTTTTTAGACAAAAATATAAAAGTGCACGTGAACTTTACGAAACGTACTGACTTTTGAAAGCACGCCATGGCACATTATTTTAGTATTTTAATAAAGAGCTTACTTTTAAAATTTTTAATATGAGGGTTAATAAGTTAATAGGCAAACTTATTTTTGGTTCATTTTGAAGCCAAATTTTGAATTTTATAAACAATTTTTTATAATTTTAAAATTAATTTTTGCTTTTAGTATTCTAACAGACCAAAAAGTTTTAAAATTTAATTAAAATTTAAGATTAAGACTTAAGTTGAAATTACAAATAATTTTTTTTTGCTTTTATTAGCGCAGTAAATATAAAGTTAGATATAAGCAAGGACCTTCCATTCATTTTATCTCTCTTTTGCAGTATTTTTGTTGTCTGTTAGCTTTCAGTGGGTCATAAACTATAGGGTTGGGCTAAGGCTAGGACTAAAGATAGGACTAATGCTAGGGCTATTGCTAGGGCTAAGGTTAAGGTTCAAGCTAGAAATAAAGTTCAGGCTAGGGTAAGGTAAGGTAGATTGTCGTCTATAACGAGGGATAACGTCTATGAACCTTAAGGGCTTTTTTTCAAAAAAAAATTTTTACTTTGTATGTGTTGCTTCTTCTAGGTCTAAAAATGACACTTATATCCTTTTTACTTATGTAATGTTTTTTATTTTTTTACATTTAAACCACTTGTTCAGCTCAAAGTACTATTATACATGTTATGACTTCTGAGTAATGACAATCTTATAATATATAGCAACGCCTTTTCATCGTACGTCACCTTCCTTGTCTACACCACTTGTTTATTATCAGTAAACTCTAATCCTCGCTCCTGTAAGACATAATTTGACATGTTCGGAACTGGAATCTATAATGTTTTCTTTCCCAAAGGCATCCGTTTGTTTGGAGAGTATTCTCTCTCCATTTATAAATTTCCATTCTTTTCTCCGATTCAAATTGCTCCAAAACTTTTTTACTTTTTTCGATTGGGATTAAATTTCATGCCCTACGGGGCGCACGGGCTTTTGTCGCTAGTAATTGCGTTGTAACTGCGTGCTAATATTCCTTGATATAAAGACGGAAATGTTGCCATAAGAGAAGGTTTGGACTCATAGAGGTCAGAACTGCTTGCCACAACTTTTTTTTAAATTTTTTATTTGAACTTGAGTTTTTTTGGTTAACAACGAGGTATTAAAGGTACATCATATAGCCTTTTTACGTTTATCCTCTTTTTCATAAACTATGCGAAGGGTTTGCTGAAGATCGTCAGGACAGTCCATTGTATAATAGCTGTTCTTAATTGGTTCCATCTAGGTGATTCTATTTCTCGAGCTACCGGTTTGTGATGAGGTCAAGGCGTCAGGCTGTTGTCGTGATGAGGTTCAGTCGGAAGCCGGTGTAGGCCAAGCAAGCTATTTCTATTGGTTCCCGTGCACTTAGCACTACACATTCATTTCTGGGTTGTGATTTTTTATGTGATTTTCATCTGGAAGCAAAAAAAGGTTAGCTTATTCTTTTAATAATCAGAGAGTTAAAAAAAATGTTTTAAAGTTGATTTTTGTATAGAATTTAGCTAAATTTTGTATACTATTATGATATAACGAGAGTTTTTGCTTAATCAACGAATTTTACAATATATATATTAGGTCGTTCACATAATCCTGAGCCATCTCTCAAGGCAAATTTTTGGAGTTAGGGTGCACATAATTATTTAATAAACCTAATAATGTTATAGTGTGTTATAAATGTTACTTAAATACTTTAAAAATCGTGACGCTGGGTCGTCTCATTAACGGTTTATTGAGTTTGGATTTAATTAGTTTTAATACTACTTCCAACTTTTTTAAAACTATTTTACGTAAACTTGATAAAACGCTTTTAATCAGTCCGAGATGAGCTCAAGTAAATACATCATTAATCAACTGCTTTTAGGGATAAAAACTAATTTTAAAGTTTCAAATGTTCAAAGGGTCTTGTATTTACAAAGTAAAATACAGATCGCTTTTGTTTTTAAGTCTCAGGACATTTACTTTACTTAAAAGAAACTAAATAGCGATGACATATATAGGTTTACGCTATGCCAGGGTATAGGTCAGAGCATAGAAAGGGTTATGCTTTATACAGATTATGGCATGAGAAGATACAGAGCTGGGTGTTCAGAATTTTTAGTTCTTTTCTTCTGCGCTTCAGTCTTTTTACATTATTTTGGGTATCAATTTTAATTCTTTGCCAATTTTAAACATTACAGAACTAGAACTGCTACAACTTCTTTGTAACTACCGCAACTTCTTCATGTCATTATAATTTGTCGAAACAAACGTTTACTCTAATTCCAATTGTACCACCACTCATTTTGACACGTATAGACGCCCTGAGGGCCCAAAGTACAGCGCTTCGTTTTTTGCTATAATTTTATTGAACTTTGAAAAGCCTGTGTTTCATTTCGAATAAGATTTCTTGCTTTCGCCTTGGGGACAGTCCGAGAGTCTCGACCTTGGTCTAATTGAGGCTAGGGAATGTTGTTTTTGCGCTCAACCTGCTATCACTGCGAACATACGAGGAGTTTTGGTACGGGTTATGTAGTTAATTTGAAACGTAATGGGCATGGTGAGGGTTTGGTAAAGACTGTCAGAGTAATACATTCTAGCTGTTTCCAACTGGGCCCCATTTAGGTGTTTCTAATACTCGAGCTACCGATTTGTGGTGAGGTGCTCCTCAAGGCTTTAGGCCTTAGTTGGAAGCCTGTGTAGGCTAAGCAACTGATTTGCCATAGTCCCCTTTCACTTATCAATTCCTATTCATTTGCGACTTACAAATGCGTTTGGGTTAAAACACCGGACTCAGATTCGACTGATAGAACCGTCGGTT